GAGGGACCGCGTGACAAAGCGAACCGCTGCTAGCAGTCACCGGATTGAATCGATTGTAACTGCGTTGCGTGTTTTGCTTCGACAATGGGAAATCAGCCAGCTCCAGTGGGCCCAGTGTCTCCGCTGTGGACGAGAAATTTAGCCAGTAGAGTACGACCGCTATTCTCGGGGTCTTCAACGCGCTTCGTGCAGTAGTGATGCACGACCGCACGCCGGTGCAATGCTCATCCTGATCGAAACAGGTAGGGGTGGCGATTAAATCAGAGATCCCCGAGGATTCGATGGTCTAGTAGCGCGAGCTTTCACTCCACGTGTACGAGCCTAGCCTCATCTGTACTCGCAAAGCCTGGCAGTTGGACGATGAAGCTATAGAGTGTCCGATCGCAGATTTGGAGCGCGAGGATCTGGTGTCACAGAGCATCAAAGAGCCATTTCTCTGGGAACTTGGACGCCAGCGCATAGTTTTTGCAGCGGCGAGGACCCGAAACACACTTGTTCGCTCGGGAGAGGTGTGTTCGGCGTTTCGCCGCAGCGGGGCGCCAGTCACAGGCTCTCCTAAAGTTCCTTGATACTTCTTTTACAAGTAACGACAACCTACACAAATGACAACGCTTATTCCGCTGAAACAAAATGACGTTATTCAGTTCACTCTTCAACTTACGCCGCCATTCGCTTTCTAAAACCTGCACCGTCACGCACTCGGCGCTCCAAAGAATGTCTCTACTTGTAGGAAGCTCTTATCTCCTCTCATCCGTTGTCTTTTCCATTTCGGCGGCCGCTTCTCGTGGCAATCTGCTAGGCTTTGTCAGTATATAGGAAGCTATGGTACGAGCATGCGGCGCGTCAACCTACTCGGCCACGGATCACCCCACCAGATTTGCCACCAGCTTGAATGCAAGTGAATCTTACCGTCGAGTTTACCGCAACCTCGATATTTCTGAAAGTTGCGTACACGAACTTTGGTGGAAATGTTTTGCGGATTCTGGGGACGATGTATAGTTTCTTGCTTGCTCGTTTTTCTTTCCTTTTTAGGTAATTAATTAATTACCTTTAGGTACTCGTAAAAAGCCGCCGCTCTGACTCTGATCATACTTCGTTTTCCTTCTGAGCTGGCGCGTTCCCTCGGAGGCTGTTCAGGTCGTTTACATGGACCCCATTTGTGCGTCGCAGACGTCAATGTAAGTGGAGGATGACGACAACACGCCATGGCGATTGCAACGAGAGAGAACAAGGTCAAGAACCGAACCGGTCAATTTGGATTGGCTTCGGATTGCTCATCGAGAAGGCGAGTCCGGAAGACCGAAGCCAAATGAACCATAGCGAGGGTTGGCGCTCTGTAATCGTGTGCGCGGTCATCCGCTTCTCCGCACAGCCTGGCGTCGCGACTGGGAGGCATTGGGCATACCGAGTTGCAAAGCGTTGTACTACACGACCCCATTATGTTAAAGTGACTAATTAGGAAAGGGTTCCCAGTTTCAACGTCGTAATAACGCGGTACAACTCGACGTCGCACTTAGAACATCTACAGCATAGTACCCAACCTTGTTGGCAGCCAGGCACGTAGCCAGGAAGGGGGGGGGGGGGGGGCATGAGGCCCGCGCCTCCCCCCCCCCCCCCACCGCCCCCCCCTCCGAAATCTTCCATTTTGCTGGGGCCTCCTCCCCCCCCCCCCCCCCCTCATACAACATTTTGTCAAAAGCAATCCCCCCCCCCCCCCCCCCCCCCCCCCCGAAACAAGATCCTGGCTACGTGCCTGTTGGCAACACAGTGTACTCTGAGAGGGAACCCTTGGTTTCGAAGAATCCAAGACATCTGCGCCCGGCTTCCCTATAAATATGTTATTTGATCGCTTATTGACTTTCTGCTCTCTAAACTTGCACACAACGCAATTATTATTATAGGAGCCAATGGAAATCCAGGATTCCACACTAATTAATTCGTAGCTTTCACAGCAAATTGGCCGACGACGCCTGGAGTATAGTAGTAGCGATGGCAGTCGATAAAATCCGGGTTTTCTGGAGAACAGAACGCGGCACAGTTTGCGCGAACAAGCGACCGCAAGTTTTCCTCCTTTTTGTCTTACACCCGAAAGCATGGCATCAAAAATGATTATACTCGTTTTCTCATCAAGGACCATAATTAAAGAGGGTGCGGCTCCTTGCAAAACGTTACTACTTGTCCCTTTTTGTCGCGAAGGATACTCGTGTGCGCGTGTAAAAACCATTATTCTCTACCGTGTCAAAACGTAAACGTTTAAAACGCAAAAACCATATCGTTTGTCTTTTTTTCTTACAACTAAATCGTGCTGCATCTACTTCAAACCGTATTTTAGCTATGTGCAAAAAGTTGTTTTCTTCTTTTAGATGACAAAGATTGCAGTGTGATGAAAAGTGCTTAAACGTTAACTCCAGTTAGCCGTCAAAATATCACTTTTTTGCCACTATACCTCGTTCGAACAAGAAAAAAGAGAAACGTTGCTGCTTTGTTCCTGATAACTGCGTCGCTGAATGTCGGCCACGCCCACGGTGGCAGATTAATATACCTATTATAAGATAATATAATTTAACTTATTACTAACGATCGTATTTTACAACGCCGAATCTGGGTTCGCAAACAAATATAACCGTAGTCTCCATGCAAACTTGGCGCAAACAAATCAACCACGCTTTTTCGTGTTTTTTTTTTTGTGTGTTTTTTTTTACGGTATTGGCGGGCATTTAATTTTACAAAATTTTATCAAAACTTTTGGTTAGTTTTAATAACAATTGTTTACACCCCCCACAAATAAATAAATAAATAAACTGCGATTGCTTGTGTGTATTAAGTGTCCTGCTGTGTATACGTGTGCATTTATAGTCTTAACGCTACCTAAGCTGTTGCTGAGACGGACGAGTATACAAAGACACCTGGCGTTTCATGCAGATGTCTGCAAGGAGGTTATTTTAGCGCGTCAAACAAATTTCAGCGGGACGAGACGCAGCGAGGCACCAGACCAACACCAGACACGCAGCGCTCGTACACGGAGAGGGGGAGGGGGACGCAATGTCGGCGAAAACGAAAACAAAAAACGCCGACAACGACGGTTGGGGGGAAAACCTGCACTGCGCCGTAGTTCCTCTGTACCGGCGCTTACCGCAGCATGACAGGAAACAAGGCCGCCGTCACTGATCAAAATGATCCCTTCATAAATATGTTACATATCTGATCCGTTTCGAATGAACATGATGCCACATTAAATGGGAGAAGCGTGCCTTAACGTGACCATTTCTGATAACTGTTCTATAGACATAAAGCGTAGACCCAGGATTTCTAGAAAGTGCTTTCAAAAATGAGCAAAATTAAATTCTCTTTAGGAAAAAAAAAAAAAAAGAAACATCAATGCACAGCCTTGTTCCGAGAAACTCTTCCTTTTAAAAGAGTCGTGCCTCCCAGAAATAAAGTTGCTGCACCTATTTAACGAAGTGATGCCTTCAAGATTAAATAGTGTGCAACTTTAACTTAAATTTAGCCTTGAATGAATCTGTTAAATAAACTTCAATTATCGGGGCCAGTTTTGAGCACGTCAAGGACAACCAACGAGCGTGGCGAATCACATTTTGCGGGAAGAAAATTAAGTCTATCCAGTTCACTCTGTTGCTGGATGCTACCGTGCCCTTCCTAAAACCCGTACCGCCATATATACCTATAAGTCCGCGCCGCAAAGGATGTTGCTGTTTTGAAGGGGGACAACGTGGGCCTTCTACGCTCATATAGTAAATTTAGTTCATTTTGGTTCACTTTAGAATCACAGTGTAGACAATACCACAAAAAGTGTTTTGAAAAGTCAAGCTCCTTTTCCCTCAAAAATAAATTGCAAAAAAAAAAAAAAAAAAAAAAAAAGCTTATTTTAAAACTTTGGACGGGGTTGGAAAAGAACTGCCAGACCTTCCTTTTGAACCTAATGGCATCTTTTATCATATGCTCCTATATACACAGTGGTTTCGTTTGAAGGATAGTTAATCTTATTACCCGAGGCTCGAGAGAGCTGTTTAATGAGTCTTTTAATAGCCACCCCAACTGCTGTACTCTCCGCTCTTCAAATTGAACACCTGCCTATCTGACTGACTGACTGACTGAGAGGCATGGCTCCACATATGGTAGGTAAAGTTACCACAAACGACCATATGAACCTCTTCGCCATCAGGAGAAATTGCAAAGCTCGTCAAAAGGAAACCCGAGATCGTCGGACGAACTGTTTGCAAAGAGTGCGTGCAACACGCAAAATTAGCGTGATTGCAAACGCTCGTGAAATTATGATTCCAGAAACGTAAGGCTGTCAGGAAACCTGAGTGTAATGACAGATAAAACGCGTCTATGAAACTGTCATCAAATTAAGGTTGTATTTATTTTGAGTTCTGTCAAGAAACAAAGCAAGTAAATCATGTATTTCCGGAAAGACGCCCCTACGAAACAATCGTCTAGGTAAAAGGTAATTCCTTTTAAATTCCACCAAGAAACAAGCCAAATAAATGCTATACGTATCTTCGGCAAATCGAATAAACGGTATACGTCTCACATAGTTAAGATCGGAGACGGCGACAGGACAACGGCACGTCTAAATAATTGAGACGTGTTGTTGTCCAGTTCCTTTATTACCGTCGTCTCCGGTTTTAACTGAGTAACCTAAACCAGCTCGGTTGTTTATTAACACTATCATCGTTACACGCCTAAAGGCAAAAAGTCCCTCCGAAACGGTCATGAGGTTAAAACGTAATTTGGTATGAATTTCGTCAAGAAACATATCAAATAAATGTTATATAACTCCCCGGCCGAACGTAACTACGAAACTGTCATCGAGTTAAGACCGTATTTCTTTGAATTCGCTCAAGAAACCAACCAAATAAATGCTGTACGCCTCTCCGGCAAACATCAAAGACTACGAAATGGTTAGAAGAAATTATCTTCCAAAAGTAACAATTAAGCAGAGAGAAACAAACACAGCTTCCCCTTGGGAGACCTACTCAGCTTCCGAAGAGGTTTCGTCCACTCTCGAGGAACATCGGACGGCTCCTCCGTAGCAGACATCGCCGTCCCAGCAGCCTCCGACGCGAGACGCGTTCTGCGCTTGCGCAGTAGCCGCCGCCACAACAGACCTCCGCCGTCGCCGGTACCGGAACACCACGTGACCGCGACAACCACTAGGGCAGCGATCACTGACGACGCGCACCAAAACTCCACCACTAGCAGACGACACAACTCGGCGACATCCTCTTCGCCGTCGTCTGCCGCCATAGTCACCGCGGTGCCGCGTTCCCACGGCGGTGTCAGTTCCCTTCGGCCGCAAACGTCACTCCGTGACTTACAAAGGTCGGAGACTCTACAAACACAAACCTGAAAGTCAACTCCACCTCACTTCACCGCCATCTTATAAACGAACGATCGAACGCACCAATCAGACGAGGCGACTTTTTGATGATATCACGGAGCAGACGAAAACTCGCGCGTGGAGAGCCGTTGCGAACCGTTTATGCTTGCGTGTGCTGCGAGCGCGAGCAGACGGCTTTTTTCCTCTTCGCCAAGATCCCTCCGCGAGCACTTTTTTTCCTTTTCTTGCTCGTATTTTTCTTTTTCCGTTGTTCTACAGACTTCTTTTTTTCTTCCAAGCTTATCGTGACGTAACAGGGCGTCCTTGACTCTGCACTTCCTTTCTGACTTTTTAACTGTTCACATTTCTTCTAGGGAAGCCGGTAGTGGTGGCAGGCGACGGTGATACTTTGATCTCTAGCAGACTCTTGTCACCGGCAGTCTGCTTGCACGGTGCACATGGGATGGACGCACGGCGGTCGGTTGCTGTTATCGCGTGGGCGGCGTCGATATTGCAGTCGCGACTGAAACAACGACGCGAACGTGGCTTAACTCGAGTACATAGGTTGGTAAGGATCTGACGGAGGGAAAGAATAATAAAAAGAGGACGTGGACAGATCGAGGGGCTCTAGTCGTCTGACGTAGACGTGGACGGACGGAGCTCTAGACGATGGTTAGCGGTCGATACAAGTCTAAAGGCAGCGTCACCCACCCTCACGGCGCCGGGGGCTGCGGGGCAGTGCACTCGCATTGCAGCAAACGACTACACCTACACTACCCGTTTTCTTCGTTCTTTCTTTTTTTTTTTGTATAAGGGGGGGGGGGGGGAGTTACTTTTTGTCTAATTTTTTTTTGCAAGTCGCAATTTTGTATTACTTCCTTAGTGTCCGAATGCATTACAGGGGGGAGTGGGTTAATTGTGTAGGGCAAACTGAGCAAGACAACTGGGGTATTCCGGAGTCACCCCCATTGATCAATTTATGTTTTCGGTTATTTTGACTAGACTGCTCAAATATTCTAAACCAGGAGAGTTTAAGGAAATGTTACTGCGAACAAATTTACAATCCCGTGATATATTTCGCCAACATATTGAAACGTCGAAAATCCTTCGAAGGAAGTATAAACGGGTTCATATTATATAAATCATGCATCTAACAACGAGGAGTGCATATATAATACTGGCGTATAAAATTATTTTAAGAAACAAATGTTTGGGCATTGCGACGGTTAAAGACATTCACGTTACATGCAGCATAGAGTAACTGTCAGAGGTTGATTGTTTGCGCTGCGAAGCTCTATGATACAGCGAAAGAGAGGGTCGTGTGCCGATCTCCTATTAACGCTAAATATGTCGCGCACACGGCAACGCAGCTAATTTCGGGAAACGCGTCGCTTGATCCACGACACCCGCGTGCGACGTGTTACACAATCGCTTTCGAGGATCAGGGTGACTCGCATCAAGCGTGACACGCGCATTACCGATTGATATGCCCGCCGCTTGCCTGCGCAGCACGCACGTACTTACACATACTGCCGGATTCGCGAGTGCTAACCTGCAGGCGCGTCGTCTAACATTCGGCGTCGTTGCCTAAAGACGCTCTAACGCAAGGCGGCGACGACGGGAAGCGCACAACTGGAGCAGGCATCGATTCGTCACATAACGGGGGTTGCACGCCTAGACTGATCAATCAATCAGACGGCGGCGATCGCGCCATGAACTGTCGCAACATCTCGCGAGAGCCGTGCCCCCCCAAGCGCACACCCGGGCGCGTGTCACGCACACTCTTTAATGTCACAGATACGTTGCGCGTGTGCGACCATGTCGTGAAAGAGAAGCACCTCGGCCGGCGCTCCTACTTCCCGTTCCGATACGATAACTCGGCGTACGTACGGTACGTTTCGACACTGTCGAGGCAGAGATATTTTATCCGGAACTCTGCCAGCTCACTGTGAGTTGCAACAGCTCCAAATTTAGTCATACTGCCTTTCTTTCTTTCTTTCTCAGTCCGGATCATTAATAACGAGAAGCCGTTACGTACGAGGAAAGGCAGACGGAAGACCGTGAAAGACACAGAAAGAGAGAGAGAGAGAGAGAGAGATAGCGAGAGAGAGAGAGAGAGTACACGCAGTTTCCCATATTAGGTTTCCACGTATACGATGAAGCCTGGAGGACGCTACGAGCCATTCCAGCCAATAAAAGCCTGCGTAGCTGTCACGTGACCTTCGAGAGGGACGCAGCGAAGCGCGGTGAGCGTTGTTACGTAGTACGTTCACAGTGGTGGGGACTGGCTGGGATGGCCCGTACGTAGCGCCGTCTGCGGTCCATTGTAAGGTGAAACGGAGCATAGACGGACCGGACGATGTAGAAAGACACACACACACACACACCTTCCTCGGGCGATTCGAAGAAATTCCCCTGCTCCGATTTGATATTCGCCACGGTACAGATGGTTACACAGTTTTAAGCTGTACTTTCTTTTTTCTTTCTTGTATTTGGTTTACTTTCGCGTCGAGCATTCAGAAGGCGTGGAGAATTCCCGGACGTAATGATGGGTTGGTGGGGGACGACCCGTTCAAAAGAAATGGGAGTTCGAAAGCGGTCTTGTTTGCAAATCGGTAGTCGGGGGTCTCGTTTGAAAACGATAACCGATTGTCACACTGACCTTGTATACGCATACTCTATTTTTTTTTTTTTTACTTTTATCTAGTGGGGTTATTTTTCCGCAAAGTAATTGGGAGAGCCAATCACCGCAATCTCGGAGCATGACGAGGCTGGAAATATATTCAGACCCAGCCTGAGTCGTGGCACTGGGCATGGTGAAACGTCATGCACAGAGTCCGTACCTTTTTCTTTTTTTTTTTTTTTCAAGATTACAAGGTTAAGCAAGTTTTTGGAGTTTTCATCCGCCCCAGCTACCTCCTTAATTGCACCAATTGGTTCTCTCAAGTGCTTTGCGGGAAACACTGCATTCCTAGGCCATGTGTCGACATTTCGGTCACCACTGAAACGCATCGCATTCTGCAAACCATGGTTGATGAATCCATGAGACGTCCGCTGCGATTCCGCGATTCTAATGAGTAACGTGTTAGAGATGTAGTCAGACGAGCACTGTAGAAAGAATGAATTACCGGACGAAGGCAAACGGTTATGAATCATTCACGCCAAGTCCAAAGTGGTAAGATTCGTATACAATTACGAACGCGCGATGAACAGAAGCCTTATATGCGTCGCAACTTGGTTCCTCGTTTTGACTACTTGGGCTATACAGGAAGACGTGCTCGTCCGCTCAGTTACAACCAGATAATCACAAAATGGAAGCATGCCCCATCATGTGTTGCCGGCCGTTTCAGCGATTGTGTACAGTCAGAGACTAGATCTGGTACAGTTATGACAGAGCTAGATGGAAACAATGAAGTAGTGAAACAGGATTCCTGTAGTCCATTTCTATAATTATACTCCTCATTTCACACCGCATGGGTAGCCAAACCACGTCCTTCTCCAAAATACAACAAAGTCACAAGCAAACCTAAAACAACCCCCCCCCCCTCAAAAAAAAAAAAAAAAAAATATATATATATATATATATATATATATATATAACAAAAATGCGGGGGTAAAGGTGAAAGAGAAGGCGAAAGCAAAACACATTCCGACGCAGACTTCCCGGAAGGCTCGGAGAAAAAACATTTGAATTTAAAAAGCAAACGGTAAGAAAGTGTACATCCTACCGGCTAGCCGGCAACCTTGGAAACTACCAAATAAAATCACCGGCGCCATTTCTTTCTCTCTCTCATCAATCGCCGCCATTCTCTCTCTCCTCGTGGTCAATTGTTTTCGTGTCATGGGTCGTTATGCATGTGCGGCGACTACACGGCGGCGCACGCCGACTTGGCAGAGGCGACCAGCATAGCCACACGCGCGCCGCGTAACCGCTCTTCCCCAAGGTGAAGCGAGGCCCGTCCGCGCTCACGTTGTGCAACGGCCCCTATTCGACGTCGCCAAAGCAGAAGAGCGTAAGTACACAAGGAGCCCACGACGAGAGTGAACGAAGCGAAACGTTTCGAAACACCCAACATGGTTCGCACATAGAGTCAGTTAACACACTGCCCATATACATCGTACAAAAAAGACACGGTGCTCACTGTGTGCAGACGCGATAACGGAATTATGTACAAACACGCCTCACGCATGTTCTAATCATGTTGTCTTCATACATATCTGTACGCTTGGAACATTCCTGCGAACTTTGTTTGTATGACCAATCTAAAAGGACCGACCGTCACCCGAGGAACAAACACGCCTCAGACAGTGTGTCTAACAGACAGTTATAGAGACTACGGTCTGTGGGGAGACTATACGGCGTGCAAGTTCGTTCGCTTGTTTTGCGTGGGTTGTTGTGACGTCATAACATCCTGCTCCCATTGCCTCCCATTAGAAGGATAGTGGGTAGACATCGAGGCAGCTAGCTTTTGAGATCTATACCCTCTCTATCCTTCGATCGGAGCCAATGAGAGCTCGGCGTCTTTCTGACGTCACATCCTGCGCAAGAAGCGGACGACTCGCTCTCCGGATCGGATAAAGCCAGCGCAATCCGAGGAATAAATCTTTATATGTTTCCGACACCAGTTCAGGGTGGATATGAGCTTGCACTTCGAGAAATAGGGCAGGCGCGTCTACTTTGCCGCAAAGCACGTGGGAAAGTGTACCCCTGCCATTTACGGAGGGACGACCAGGCCGAATATGAGCTGAAACAAACGAGTGTGCGCTGATTGGCACATGGGCGCGGTGAAACGTCGCGCTCGCATCGTAGACTGTTTCGGACTGCTTTCGTTAACAACCGTTCGGAGAAGGTGACGTGCGTCTCTTTGAGGAGCAATTTGCGAGAGGCGGGGCAAGAGAAAGCAACGTCCAACGGCTCTTTGTGATGGTTTTAAGCGCAAACCGCGACCTCAGCCGAAAGAATCGCTAAATAGAAAACCTTCCGCATAATTATTATTATTATTTTAAGGGGATTTATTTTGTTTTCTTCGAGGCAAGCATGGTTTTCCCGTGGAGATGCTCAAAAAGCATTTCAGAGAACCGTGAGGGAGCGCACACACACCGCGGACTGGAACTAGAGAATGGAAACAACCGGCCAGTCTTACATCGACACAGGAGCACCAAGAAAACCTTACGTTCCCATTCGAGTCAACACGAAAATTGATGTTTCAAAGCACCTATTTGCGGACCGATATACCAGATATCGTAGCTGTTCAGATCGAACTGTCAAGAACCTTTTAAATATATTTATTTTCTATCAAAGGGGACGCGGCACCAAAATACCAACTTGGCTATCTCGTTCATTTTATTACGGCAGAAATCACCTACTCGCCCCACAAGCCAATTGAGTCGCAGAAAAAGCTTCAGAAAACTCCCGTCGTGACAACAACCGTTCTCTCTTTATTGGCCATTTCGAGTCCTATTCGAGCCTGCCTCGAATGGCACCGGCTACCCAACGTGTACCCAGATTTAACAACAACATATTCAAAAATCCTGCCAAAAAAAAAAAAAAACGAAGGAGGAAAGCAAAAAGATCCCATTTAAACGCATTAACAACGACATATTCAAAAACAAAAGAAAAAAAAACAAATTAGAAAA